ATACGCAATGTAAATATTCAGGAGGAAAGGGAATTTGTTTATTTATGTGCCTCTTACAGAGACCTGAAAACTATAAGCTGGCCTACTATTTAAACAAATAATTATTGAAACAAAGTCATATCCATTTGTTTACATATAGTCTGTGGCTGCTTTTGCACTGCAATAGCATTGTTAAGTAATTGCAATGACAGCCAAATTCGGCAAAGTGGAATACATTTACTATTTGGTCCTTTCAGTTCAGTTCAGTCACTCAGTCATGTCCAGCTCTTTGCGACCCCATGGACTGCAGCACGCCAGACTTCCCTGTCCATCACCAACTCCCAGAGCTTCATTTGGTCCATTGCCAGAAGTATTTTGACCCCTATTAGATCTACTAGAATGTAAGCTATAGAACGCTCCTTGAAAATCTAACTTGAGACATTCCCATTACTGAGATCAGTGTTTGGCACAAAATAATTTTTAAGCTAAATTAGTAGGCTAGCTCAGCTGGTAAAGAATCCACCTGCAATGCAGGAGACCCTGGTTCCTGGGTCAGGAAGATCTGCTGAAGAAGAGATAGGCAAAGAGTCAAACACAACTGAGCGACTAAGCACAAGCACGTGGGTACCACATAATCCAGAAGGAATAAGACTAGTTAAATGAGGCTAGATGAACAGCAGATATAATATGGACCATTCAGTTTCAAAATTTCCTAATTCTAAGATGTATGGTACTGTCATAACTTCTAATTCAACTGCTGGGTGCTATAGGCAATTTAATGATCTAAAAAAAAAAAAAACCAGTTATGTATAAAGATAGAACCAATTTATATCCCTAAGGCAATGTGAGTTTTTTTTGTTATTATTTATAGAAGTACTGTGGAAACTCCACTTTCACGTGATGCCCATCTTTAGCCCACATAGCGGTGGTTGAAAAGGCACAACCTATTCTTAATAAAATAAAGAGATCATTTCTAGAAGGCAAACTAAATGAATTCCTACCTGCCCATCATCTATGCAGTTTGCTGGGTTGTGGCTTTGCAGATATACTTATGCAAATCCCCATATTTAAATAGCTTAATTAAGCAAATAGATTAGCTTCTCAAATCCCTAGGTTGTTACATATAGAAATTGCTTACATTTAATGTTTAAATGCAACAAAAAGGAAATCTAGAACCAATTAATTTGAACTATAGTGAGAAACAGGTACCTCATACTGATGATCGTAGTTAACATCTTTAAAAAATACCAGTGGAAGGAAATAGCCACCTAAAGGGTATGCAATGAGTGTAAGCTTTGCAGCCCTCAAGTCTAGAACTTTTAAAAATCAAAATATAGTAGGTCTGGGTTTGATTTTCTCAAGCTACAACCAACTTCAAACCCTAGGGACAGCTGTCATTAGAGTCTACTAGACATCCTTAATCACATGCTTCCTAGACTTCTTAGCTTTGTTTTAATCTTCACTATTGTCCTTTAATGTTATTTTTCCCCCCTACATTTAAAAAACAAAACCAACAAATATACTTCACAGGACATTTGCACAGAAAGCTTTTTTACAAAAAGGATGCAAAATTGCTATTATACACATCTTGAATATGAAGTAAATTTGAAATATTCATGAAATAACATGAAACAAATATTTAAAAAAATTTAAAATACACTTGCAAAAATATCTGAAATGATCAGTGATGTTGTATACATACATGTCAACTAACCTCCCAGGGAGCTACCTGTAAAATGGGAGAGCTGGATTAGCTATTTCTACATCCGTTTGAAGCTATTCTTTTCTTCATTAAATAAATTCATTTATTGATTTATGCTGAAATACTTTAAAATATAAAGTGATTAGCAAAAATAACTTAAATAAGTAATTAGGGAGAAAGGTCAATATGCATTTTTTTTTAAGAAAAGAATCAAGTTGCTGAAAGTAAGCATATATCCTAAATCTTGATTTCATGATGAATAGAAAGAGATAAGGAAAGGCAGTCAGTTCTATAACTCACATATGAGGAAATAGCCTATAAAATCTTCAGGAAACAGTTTATGAATTTGGACTTTGCAATTAAAAAGAGTATTGAAAATCCGTGTTAAAGAGCTGATAATGTAGGTAGACTAAAAAGAGTAGCTTTGAATAATTCTGGACCTTGGCAATGTAATAAATGATGTTCTAGAAAAAAAATTTTTTTTAATTCAGTGAAAAATCTTTTTTCTTAATCTCACTTTGAAAAGAAAAAGCTACTTGCAAATGATTTTTAAAAGCCTTTGCTGGAGTCTTCTAATGCAGAAACTCATCATTTTCCTAAAGGAAAAAATGAGCGCCACCTACCCCACCCCACCCCCCAACCCCTGCCCCTTCGCCGAAGGGGTCTGCAGAGTCCAGGGCTTCTGGATGATGCCTTAGGGGACAAGTTAGCCTGCTTCTTTAACAAAATAGCAATTTCCCCTTTATGTGGTTTTTATATTCTTTATGCAAGATTACAGGTGGAAAAAAAATAATTCCACCATTTTAAAATAATTAACCACTGCCACAGTTTTGTGACTATTCACTCCATAGCATACACATTGATGCTGGGAGAAAGGTTAGAATCAATGAGACATGTTTTGATATCCCAAAAAGAAAAACAAATTTCAAAAGGAATTCAGATCATTAATGGTTTGAATGACTATAATTCTGCCATAAGGACAAATGACTCTGAAATTCAAAATTTCAACAGAGGGTGAATTATCCTGGGTCAGACCTAGGAGAGAAGACATCTCTATCACATTTTAGCTGTGTGACCTTGGGCCGAGTTGTTTTAGCTTTCTAGGCCTTTGGTTTCACGTCAGCAAAATGATGATAATGTGAAGATGAAATAAGTTAATAAAGTGTCTGGTACATGACAAACCAGGTCCCAACTTCCTTCTCAGTAGCAGATTAAGGACCAGCAACCGCAACCCTTAATTCCCAGTCTTGTTCACTTTCCATGACACTTCATGTCACATAGATAACATTGTTTAAAACTGAGAATATTAAGTGCATTAAAATTTAAAAAAAGCCTCTTCCAAAATCAATCTCTTCACATTTTTAATAATGCAGGGAAGGAGCTTGAAGTTGGTCCGCAGAGATTTTCATGAACCAAAGGGTTATTTTTAATTGGATTTTGTGCCTGTTGTTATGGAAATTATTGTTTCATGGATAAAGCTTTATGATTTCACTGCAAGATCAAGCCCAGAATGGGGTATAATGATGATATCACCCTTATGCTTCTTTTTCTTGACAAAACACTTAAATTAAGAGAATGGGAGTGAGACTGCTTCAAAAGCACACATTTCTAAGAAAAAAAAAGGTTCCCCCTTTTAAAAATAGCTTTAAAAATGATATATTCTCTTTTCAAAGATCAAAACTCAGAATGGCCCTTGCTGCCAGTAGGATGCTAAGATTCTGCAGAGTTATTAAACACTTCACTGTTGAAACTAGAAAGAGTTCCTTTGATCCTGGAACTTGCTTTCAACATTTGGTCTCAAAGCATTTTTGCAGTTGTTGAACTACAGTTGTTGCACAGGCTTCCTCTGGTTATTTCGTGATCAATCTCTCCAAACTCTTCTCTCTAGACTAGTTTTTATTCATGTGTCCAGATGCGATTTAACTTCTCTAAAGAAACAAAAAGAAATGCTTACGAATCTTAATGATGGTTCTGTTTAAAATTGAAAGTGTTAGCCGCTCAGTCGTGTCTGACTCTTTGCAACCCCATGGACTGTGGCCCACCAGGCTCTTCTGTCCATGGAATTCTCCAGGCCAGAATGCTGGAGTGGGTAGCCACTCCCTTCTCCAGGGGCTCTTCCCAACCCAGCGATCGAACCTGGGTCTCCTGCATTACAGGTCAATTCTCTACCATCTGAGCCACCAGGGAAACCCAAGACAGGAGGCAATTCATCCTGCAAAATTCAACTTATATCACTAGCTCATTTTAAGCCTCAAAGAAACCTCAAACAAGGAAGACAGGACTTGTTTCATCAATAACATCCTAAGAGAGAAATCAGGATAGTAGTCTGCAGTATTAAGGCAGTGATTTCTTGTTGGACAGACTACTGAGGCTTCCTCTAGTACTTAGTTCCCTAATTTATTTTTCTTTCTTCTTTTCTCTCTCCTTCTTTTTGGCATTTTCATACACCATCCTACGATCCTTGGACATTGGCTAGATTGTCTGGTAGATAGAATTTGGTGGAAGAAATTGTGAACCCCACCCTGATCCTGAATCAATTGAAAGTCATGTAACTAAATATTATATCTTTGGTCATTTTAGTTTACCAAGAAATGTCAGTACATTAGAAAAAAAGGAGGGGGGAGAATCCATCGCAAAAAAAAGTATCATTAAAAACTTCATAATTTTTTTAAATGAATCAAAATATTATTTTTAACAAAACATTTTCAGTTCTATTAAAAGTTCTTTTTTTTCCCTTCCTTTGTTTTTATGTGTAAGAGAGACATTTGTCTATGGCCTAATCAACCAGGTGCCATTCATTGAAAATTGTTAGCTAATGGCCTAGGGTCAGATCTCTCCCCAAGGTCAGATGTCTTATGACTAATATCTACTTCATTAGCAAAGGAAAGGAAAAAAAGAGATAGTGTAAAAGTGTAAAACAAGAAAAAGTGTACAACAAGAAAATTCCTGAGAGAGGGAAAAGTTTGTGCAAATTTGGGAGCATTGCTGTGTTGAGTGTGCCTATTTATGACAACAGGTGCGTTTGTTTGTCTTTGATTGATGCATAATGTTAAAGAGTCTTCTTAAACTGTTACACCTGAATATCTGTTAACTGGTAATTTTCCTTGCTTGCTGTGACTCTAATGGGCTTGAGAATTGATCCAGCCAGTCTCTCCTCTCTCTGTCTTTTTCTCTCCTCTTTCTTTCATTTTTTTCTCTCTTCTCTCTCCTCCCTCTCCCTCGCTTCCCCCTCTCTTTGTCTCTTTCTCTCACTCTCTGTGAGGTTCATTTGCTTGACTGATTCTGAGTGTCCATAATGACTGTTTGGCATATTCTACAGGCAAAGGTCCCGAGACCCTTTTTGCTGGCTATAACCTCAATGATAACGAATGGCACACAGTGCGTGTGGTTCGTCGAGGAAAAAGTTTAAAGTTAACGGTGGATGACCAGCAGGCCATGACAGGTAAAGCCCTATCACCTTTGCCTCTGTTGAAGCTTTCGACTTCCCTCTTTCTTGCAGGTGACCTTGAAAACCAAATGAACAACTTGAAGCTAATAGACACAGTTCATTTCTTATTCAAATTCTTCCAGCAACAATTAAATTTAATAAGCTGCATGTTGTTTTCTTTTCTCTCAAATGAGCAACAATTTTTTGTCATGTTCCTTTCCATTTAATAATTCAAGAAGTCATAATATATTTTAATTTTATGCCTTGATAAATATCTCAGGGCTTCATAAAATATTGAAGCTATTGTTTGGAGGCCAATTCCTGTTCAGTTTCTTCGTTATATATTTAGGCCATGAACAGCAGCAAGTTACACTTTTTAGCTTCTGGATACATTGATAGATACGCTGGCATTCTGTCAGGAGAACTGCTTTTTATTTTAAGCTGTGATAGATCATTTTTGGCCATTTAGCTCTGTTGGTTAAGCTCTAATGTTAAGAATGTCAAGTCCAGTCCCTGATTTGTGGATTTCTGACTGAGGTGAATAATATAAAGGCCCACGCCAGAGACAGAGGGAAACCAAATGAAAGAGGAGTTGGCTCACCTTTATTCTCTCTGCCTAAAATAACTTCAAGCATATGACCCGCTGGGATATTAGCTCCCTTTTTTTTAGTGAACATCTCCCTGTTAATTATTTCAGCGCAAGATGGTCCTTGTGTGGCACAAAAGTGTCTATTACATTCAGTCTCAAGGGGGTTTCCATTCTCAGAGATCAGGTGGTTATATCAATGAAGAAATAATGTGTATGGGATTTTAACTTTTAAGAGAATCATTCCGCAGTTTAAACGAAGCAAACTACCAACCCATAGATCTCTTACTGTCTTGTATTTCGTTAGCCCTTTATGGCTTTCCAAAACTTTTGTCTTCATGTGGGAGCAAACTTACTTCATTTCAGAATCATCTGAAGAGCTTTAAAAGGATCATTTCCTGGCAAGACACCACAGAAAGTGTGAGAGGAGACCATTATTATTATTTCTTAAAATCTCTCCAAAGAACTCTAATGCAGCTGGCCCATGGATTGGCATTTAAAAACTACTGCTCTGTTATGCCATTTTATTCTCCCAGGAAGAAAATCAACCAAGGACTCATGAGCATAAGCCTTTATTCAAAATTGCCAAACATGAGAACTCTCTAAAGAAACTGTGAACTTAGGGAAGAGAGGCAGAATTTTTATAGGGCTTTGGCAGGAGTGTCGGCTGAAGTTCAGCTAGTTTTGGTAAAGGCAGTTCTTGGAAGAGGTGTAAATTGTTTTTGTAGATTAGCATCCATTGTTTGGACAGTCTGGGTTTTTTCAAAAGGGGCAGAAATTAGGATCTAAGATCATGTATAAGAGGTTGGGAAGAAATAACTGCCAGAGACAAGGACATGTGAAGGTCACAGTAGAACATTCTTTAGTCCCTGAAGTTTATCTCAAATCTCATACAGCCCTATGACATAGGGCTCGATGCATTCTCATTTTATAGATGAGAAAGCTGAGATTCAAAGAGGTAAAATGACATGTTACTTTGAAATGCCATTGTTACCAGAACTGAGAGAGAGCCTAGGGTTTTTTTTTTTTTCAATTTTGTTTGTTAACTTTAAAAAATTTGTTTGCTTTTGACTCATGGTCCATTTATTTATATTTATTAATATCCTAATATACATATATATGACTATGATGAGTACTCTCTCAGATATAGCATGATTTTATGAGGATAATATGTATATATATATATATATATATAAACACATATCAAAATCACACAGTAACTTATCTGGGATAGTATATGATGTGCTAAAAGGTTGAGTAAACAATTCATGTCCTTGAGGTTCAGAAGAGCTTAAAGATTTCAGGACTAGCTAAAGCAATCAATAATATTTGAAGGCTGTAAAGAAAGGATAATACAGATAAGATTATGTGGGGAAGGGTAGAATGGCTTGGACGAGGCTAGACAGACTAGTGTTCAGGCAGTGGGGAAGGTTTGTTTCATTTCATATAACCACAGGGCAGCTGACATGGCTAGAATGGCCTTGGATGCCAATAGGTCAGTGCTCCAAATGAAGGAGTTCATATTTCACGAGTTTGCAGGCAGTTGGGAAGTCACTGAATTTAAGCTGGAAAATAAGAGAATATGTTTTGAGCAGCATGAATTCTGTGCAATGTGCTAAGTGCTTCAGAATGTAAAGCAGTAAAGTCCTAAACTACAATGGCTGAAGAAGGTATAGAAACAAAAGACTGGGGCAACACATTTTTTAAAAGTTTAGTTTAGAAATAATTTCAAACTTATAAAAAATTTCAAAATGACAGTGATATACTTTTACTATTGTGAGCATGTTATCCCATTTGTTTTGACATTTTCACTCTTTTTTTTTTTTCTTAAACAAGTGATAAGTTACATACTTAATAGCCCTTCACTCTAAATATATACTTCAGTGGACATTTTCTAAAGATATAAATATCTCTTTACAGAACAAAGAGCTACTAACTTCAGTAGATTTGGCATTGGTGCAATATATTTTATCTGTCCTCTCACCCATTTTAACCCAATGTTGTCTTTTATAGCATTTTCACCTCTAGCAGAGCATACAGTCTAGGGTCAGACACTGCATTTAGTGTTATGTCTCTTTAGTCTCCTTTAATTGAAAACATTGCCATAGACTTTCTTTGTCTTTGATTACACTGACAAATTAAAAAGATACATAGTCCTCCAATCTTTTATCCATGTAAAGTCATTCCTGGGGCTTATCTGATGTTTCATGATGATTGAATTCAGGTTTTAACATTCTTGGGTGAAATACCACATTGTTGATTGTGTGATCTTCTTCTAGTATCCTATCTGGAGACAAACTATATCCATATGCTTGACTCATGATTTTAACACTTGGTCAGTATGTTGCCCAGTTTCTCTATTGTATGATTAATATGTTTTACTCCCTTACAACTAATGACTGTCTGTGGAGAGACTTATTAAGACAATGAAAATATCATAATATCTTCCTCAAATATTTGTCCCAGACTATCATCTACTGAAGATTTTGCCTGATCCAGTCTTTAATACACACAGTAGTTATAAATGCTTATTTTAAACCCCATTACTCTTTCCACGTTCAGAGTCAATACTTAGCATTCTGCTGTATACAAGAGCTTTCCTTTCTTTGTTTTCTTTCCTTTTCTTTTCTTCCTTCTCTCCCCATCTTCCTCCTTCTCTCCTTCCCTCCCTTCTTCCTTTCTTTCCTTCCTTCCTTACTGATATGGACCCACAGGTTTCTATATTTTTAAATAGTTATAATTACTTAATTATTTTGGTGCTTAAAATATCTCTATTTGGGCCAGTGTGAGTCCCATGAAGTTGGTCTCTGTGATCTTGTAACATGCCTTCACCTCAGATTTTTTTTTTTCTCACTTTTTTGGCAAAACAGAATATTTCAGGCACAACTTTTACTACCATGCCCCAGCCCTGGACTGAGACACTTTTTATTTAGTGGAGAATTAGGTGTAGCTGGTTGGTATTGGTATGCTCAGTACTGCTTTGCAACCTTTTCAGGAAGCTAAGATGGTAAGTACACTCAGGTATAAATACATATACCTGAATATATATACAGTTGCTAAGTTTAGTTGCTAAGTCATTCCCAACTCTTTTGTGACCCCATGGACTGTAGCCCACCAGGCTTCTCTATCCATGGAATCTCCAGGCAAGAACACTGGAGTAGGTTGCCATCTCCTTCTCCAGGGAATCTTCCTGACCCAGGGATCCAATCCTCATTTCTTGCATTGGCAGGCGAATTCTTTACTGCTGAGTCACCAGGAAGCCCATAAGTGTGTGTGTGTGTGTGTGTATTTGCTTTAATATGCCTCTCCACATAAAAAAATATATATACACACACACACACATACATACATATAAATTACATGTTCACACAAATATACGGATACACATATTTTAGAAAACATGAGTTCACACTAGTATAATCATATCTACAGCATTGCTTCTTCCCCCATTTCATGTTTTCATATCTCTTCTTCCAATTTGGAACCTTGGCTCCCAGTGATGTCATTTTCTCATTTTCTCAATCCAGTAACACATCTATGATAGTTTCAGAATTGCTTTACATTGTCCACCCCACAAGTAATAACCTGACTAAAAGCAATTGAGGATTAATTTGTGATTCTTTTTATTTCCTACTGCTTAAGATTTAATGTATATAGTCAAACACTATTTATAAATAACTTTGATTAGTTTGTTTCTTCTTTTCTTCCTTTCCTTTTCCTTCCTTTCTTTAACTTGAGTGTAGTTATATTATTCATTTGAAATGCAGTTAATCTTATTGATTCCAGTTGTTTATTCCCTCCCATTCTTATGTTTTTAATTACACTTGTGTGTAGAACATAACCCTGCTTTTTTAAACCAGTGCAACTATTTTGAATTAGGAAGTGATGAATAGAGTATGAAAATGATATCATAACAGAAAATTCCAGAAATGTTCCCTAAATGAATTGCCAGCTAGTTTTCATTGAAATTTAAGATATATCTTTTCAGTTGCATAGATTCCTACCAAACTCCTAAATGAATAATTATATTCTACATTAGTGAGTTGACTTCTTCAACTTCCAGTCAATATATCATTTCTTTGTTTACTGTCATGTGTATATACCACTAGTGAATATAATGTTAGGGAGCAGAGTGAATAGATACTCATATGGGTGTAGTTTGCTTATAGAAATAGGAACAAATAAATGATGGATTCAAAGGAGTACTCAGAATTTACACTGTTGGGGCATGATTTCTAAGCTAATGTCACATGTTTACATTCTTCTGCTCCTGGGCATGGCCTGTTTCTTCATGGTAAAATAACCTATGTCTCCTTGGCTGATTAATTTTGGGAAACTCTGGCACCTACAACTTCATTAGGAGTTCATGGGCCATTGGCGAAGTTTCGTTCATGATCTGAAAGAAAAAAACCTCCCTTTTGAGATTTCC